CTTCTACGCATGCTCTGCTGGAATTGTAAGCAGCTTCTGCTGACGTTGAACTCAATCTCTGTTGACGTCTTGCACAATTTCTGTCTTTAAGTCTTTATTACATAGCTTTTATGACTTTATGAATGAAAGATGAGTACAATCTACTGCACTCTCAACGATACGTAATATGAATTATAACTCTGACTCTGCAAAAACGACAATACATAACTGATCCAAACAATAATCCAAACTCTTCACCTTCTGCACAAGTTCATAGAACATATGCCGAACAAATAGCGCGACAGTGAAAATTCTATTTGTATTTTTCAGGTCAATGTCAAATGCTCTAATGACCAGAAAGAAAACACGAATTGTCTCCCTTCATACTCGATCAGTTATCCAGACCAAACATTCTCCAGTCTCTATATTCTGTGTGTGTATATCTATGTGTATACATCTTGTCTATATGTATATCTTCTGTATGTGTATATCGTCTGTGTGTGTGTATCGTCACTGTGTGTAATACTGTGTATATCACCTCTATGTGTATGACGTCTCTGTGTATGACGTCACTGTGTGTGTGTATTCTGTGTGTGTATATCTATGTTAATATCTTCTGTATGTGTATATCGTCTGTGTGTGTGTATCGTCACTGTGTGTGTGTATTCTGTGTGTGCATATCTCTGTGTATATCTTTTTGTATGTGTAAATCGTATGTGAGTGTATCGTCACTGTGTGTAATATTGTGTATATCACCTCTATGTGTATGACGTCTCTGTGTATGACGTCACTGTGTGTGTGTATTCTGTGTATGTATATCTATGTTAATATCTTCTGTCTGTGTATATCGTCTGTGTGTGTGTATCGTCACTGTGTGAGTGTATTCTGTGTGTGTATATCTATGTTAATATCTTCTGTCTGTGTATATCGTCTGTGTGTGTGTATTCTGTGTATGTATATCTATGTTAATATCTTCTGTCTGTGTATATCGTCTGTGTGTGTGTATTCTGTGTGTTTATATCTATGTTAATATCTTCTGTCTGTGTATATCGTCTGTGTGTGTGTATTCTGTGTATGTATATCTATGTTAATATCTTCTGTATCTGTATATCGTCTGTGTGTGTGTATTCTGTGTGTTTATATCTATGTTAATATCTTCTGTCTGTGTATATCGTCTGTGTGTGTGTATCGTCACTGTGTCTGAATCGTCGGTGTGTGTATCGTCACTGTGTGAGTGTATTCTGTGTGTGTATATCTATGTTAATATCTTCTGTCTGTGTATATCGTCTGTGTGTGTGTATCGTCACTGTGTCTGAATCGTCTGTGTGTGTGTGTCGTCACTGTGTGTGTATTCTGTGTGTGGATATCTATGTTAATATCTTCTGTTTGTGTATATCGTCTGTGTGTGTGTATCGTCACTGTGTCTGAATCGTCGGTGTGTGTATCGTCACTGTGTGTGTGTATTCTGTGTGTGTACATCTATGTGTATATCTTTTTGTATTTGTAAATCGTATGTGTGTGTATATTGTCTCTATGTGTATATCGTCTCTATGTGTCTATCGTCACTGTGTGTATCGTCACTATGTGTATCCTCACTGTGTGTATATCGGCACTGTGTGTTTATCGGCACCGTGTGTATATCGTCACTGCATATATCGTCAATGTGTGTATATCGTCACTGTGTGTATATTGTCATTTTGTATATATCGTCACTACGTGTATATCGTCACTTTGTGTATATCGTCACTGGGGGTATATCGTCACTGTGTAGATATCGTCACTGTGTATATTCACTATGTGTATCCTCACTGTGTGTATATCGGCACTGTGTGTTTATCGGCGCCGTGTGTATATCGTCACTGCATATATCGTCAATGTGTGTATATCGTCGCTGTGTGTATATTGTCACTTTGTATATATCGTCACTACGTGTATATCGTCACTTTGTGTATATCGTCACTGGGGGTATATCGTCACTGTGTAGATATCGTCACTGTGTATATATCGTCACTGTGTGTATAAAGTATATGAATGTTGTCGTCACTGTGTGTAAATCGCATCTGTGTTGATATCGTTACTGTGTGTACAACGTCTCTCTGTGTGTATCGTACTGGGTGTGTATAGTCACTGTGTGTATAAAGTCACTGTGTTTATATCGTCACTGTGTGTATACTGTCATTTTGTATATATCGTCACTACGTGTATATCGTCTCTTTGTGTATATCGTCACTGTGGGTATATCGTCACTGTGTATATATCGTCACTGTGTGTATAAAGTATATGAGTGTTGTCGTCACTCTGTGTATATCGCCTCTGTGTTGATATCGTTACCGTGTGTATAACGTCTCTCTGTGTGTATCGTACTGGGTGTGTATAGTCACTGTGTGTATAAAGTCACTGTGTTTATATCGTCACTGTGTGTATACTGTCATTTTGTATATATCGTCACTACGTGTATATCGTCACTTTGTGTATATCCTCACTGTGGGTATATCGTCACTGTGTAGATATCGTCACTGTGTATATATCGTCTCTGTTTGTGTATCGTCACTGTGTGTATCTTGTCTTCTTTGTGTATATCGTCACTGTGTGTATATCGTCACTGTTTGTCAATCGTCACTGTGTGTATCGTCACTGTTTGTGAATCGTCACTGTGTGTATCGTCACTGTTTGTGAATCGTCACTGTGTGTATCGTCACTGTTTGTGAATCGTCACTGTGTGTATCGTCACTGTTTGTGAATCGTCACTGTGTGTATCGTCACTGTTTGTGAATCGTCACTGTGTGTATCGTCACTGTGTGTATATCGCCTCTGTGTTGATATCGTTACCGTGTGTATAACGTCTCTCTGTGTGTATCGTACTGGGTGTGTATAGTCACTGTGTGTATAAAGTCACTGTGTTTATATCGTCACTTTGTGTATATAGTCTCTGTGTGTGTATTGTCACCGTGGGTATATAATCTCTGTGTGTATAGTCACTGTGTGTATATCGCCTCTGTGTTGATATCGTTACTGTGCGTATAACGTCTCTCTGTGTGTATCGTACTGGGTGTGTATAGTCACTGTGTGTATAAAGTCACTGTGTTTATATCGTCACTTTGTGTATATAGTCTCTGTGTGTGTATCGTCACCTAGGGTATAAAATCTCTGTGTGTATCGTCACTGTGTGTATCTTGTCTTCTTTGTGTATATCGTCACTGTGTGTATATCGTCACTGTGTATACCCAGTCACTGTGTATATATCGTCACTGTGTGTATAAAGTATATGAATGTTGTCGTCACTGTGTGTAAATCGCCTCTGTGTTGATATCGTTACTGTGCGTATAACGTCTCTCTGTGTGTATCGTACTGTGTGGGTATCGTCACTGTGTGTATATTGTCTCCCTTCATACTCGATCAGTTATCCAGACCAAACATTCTCCAGTCTCTATATTCTGTGTGTGTATATCTATGTGTATATCTTTTTGTATGTGTAAATCGTATGTGTGTGTATACTGTCTCTATGTGTATATCGTCTCTATGTGTCTATCGTCACTGTGTGTATCGTCACTATGTGTATCCTCACTGTGTGTATATCGGCACTGTGTGTTTATCGGCACCGTGTCTATATCGTCACTGCATATATCGTCACTGTGTGTATATCGTCACTGTGTCTGAATCGTCGGTGTGTGTATCGTCACTGTGTGTGTGTATTCTGTGTGTGTATATCTATGTGTATATCTATGTGTATATCTTTGTGTATGTGTAAATCGTATGTGTGTGTATACTGTCTCTATGTGTATATCGTCTCTATGTGTCTATCGTCACTGTGTGTATCTTGTCTTTGTGTGTATCGTCACTGTGTGTATATAGTCTCTGTGTGTGTATCGTCACCTAGGGTATATAATCTCTGTGTGTATCGTCACTGTGTGTATATCGCCTCTGTGTTGATATCGTTACTGTGCGTATAACGTCTCTCTGTGTGTATCGTACTGTGTGTGTATCGTCACTGTGTGTATAAAGTCACTGTGTTTATATCGTCACTGTGTGTATATAGTCTCTGTGTGTGTATCGTCACTGTGTATATAATCTCTGTGTATATCGTCACTGTGTATATATCGTCTCTGTGTGTGTATCGTCACTGTGTTTATCTTGTCTTTGTGTGTATCGTCACACTGTTTGTACATCGTCACTGTGTGTATATCGTCACTGTTTGTCAATCGTCACTGTGTGTATCGTCACTGTGTGTATCTTGTCTTTGTGTCTATCGTTACACTGTTTGTGAATCGTCGGTGTGTGTCTCGTCACTGTGTGTATAAAGTCACTGTGTTTATATCGTCACTGTGTGTATATAGTCTCTGTGTGTGTATCATCACCGTGGGTATATAATCTCTGTGTGTATCGTCACTGTGTTTATCGTCACTGTTTGTGAATCGTCGGTGTGTGTATCGTCACTGTGTGTATCTTGTCTTTGTGTGTCTCGTCACTGTGTGTATAAAGTCACTGTGTTTATATCTTCACTGTGTGTATATAGTCTCTGTGTGTGTATCATCACCGTGGGTATATAATCTCTGAGTGTATCGTCACTGTGTATATCGTCACTGTGTGTATATAGTCTCTGTGTATATCGTCACTGTGTGTGTATCGTCACTGTGTGTATAAAGTTACTGTGTTTATATCGTCACTGTGTGTATATAGTCTCTGTGTGTGTATCATCACCGTGGGTATATAATCTCTGTGTGTATCGGCACTGTGTTTATCGTCACTGTTTGTGAATCGTCGGTGTGTGTATCGTCAATGTGTGTATCTTGTCTTTGTGTGTATCGTTACACTGTTTGTGAATCGTCGGTGTGTGTCTCGTCACTGTGTGTATAAAGTCACTGTGTTTATATCTTCACTGTGTGTATATAGTCTCTGTGTGTGTATCATCACCGTGGGTATATAATCTCTGTGTGTACCGTCACTGTGTTTATCGTCACTGTTTGTGAATCGTCGGTGTGTGTATCGTCACTGTGTGTATCTTGTCTTTGTGTGTATTGTCACTGTGTGTATCTTGTCTTTGTGTGTATCGTCACTGTGTGTATAAAGTCTCTGTGTGTTTATCGTCACCGTGGGTATATAATCTCTGTGTGTATCGTCACTGTGTGTATAAAGTCTCTGTGTGTGTATCGTCACTGTGTGTATATAATCTTTGTGTATATCGTCACTGTGTATATATCGTCTCTGTGTGTGTATCGTCACTGAGTGTATCTTGTCTTTGTGTGTATCGTCACACTGTTTGTACATCGTCACTGGGTTATATCGTCACGTTGTGTATAGCGTGTGTATGTGTCTATCGTGTCTATGTATATATTGTCACTGTGTGTATCCATTATTTGCGTAAATTGTCTCGATGTTTGTATACATTTTTTTTTATTTCGTCTACATTTGTTACAGGATGAAGTGCTACATGTACCGCATTGTCTGTTATAGTTCCTACGCATTAACATTCGCGCTATTACTGAAGATGTAATCTTCGTTCTAAATAGGAACAGACAAAATGGTTGGGTCCTTTTAATTTGACATACAAATAAGACACTCCCGTTCAATTTACGAATGTCACGGCTTCATTTTACCAGGTCGGCAAATCATCACTGGCATGTTTACAACTGAACAGGAGAACCGTATTTGTTTTTGTGTGACGTGTTACAAAGCACTTATCTCTTAGGATTTCACTGAGTTCAGACTTATTTCATGCAGTGAAAGGGACGGTAATGTAATAAAACGTCAGAGAATCAGTATGTCAAACCTTCGCCAAGCGTCTAATCGGCGGGATGCAAAGATTCAAAGTTGCAATTTAGATTTCCTTCCCATGTCTGCAATCCTATGTTTTCGATTTTTTTACAACAGTATTCTGGGGTTAATCAACGTTAAAACACATCAATTTAAATGCCATATTAAGTGTCTCGCAACATATATTGGAGATCACAAATTTGACATATGAAAATGTTTCTGCCCATAATTGCCAATCCTCCTGTACCGGAAGTACAAAACGTGTCGTTTTATATGCCATTATCTCCGAACAAGTCAGTTGATGTCAGCTATTTCCGGTCAGCAGCTTAATATATGAAAAGGGTCAGAGACATTGTTTGGTCAGCTGTCCTGTAATGCATCTGTCATGCCTTCCGTCATTACAGTAGCGATCATCCAGAAGAATTTCAACCATGCGTTTTCCACTTCCGGTGTCCATTTCTCTCCGATGGCTGGTTTAATGGAGTGGAGGAGAACTGGTCCGAGAAACTGTAAAGTAAATTAGACACGTATGTTATATATCATGTATTGGTTACACTGGAATATGGACTGGACACATGTTTATGTAGTTATGCCAGTATGAACGCAATCGGCTACATCTTCATTACACAGAGCCCGCACTGGATTCATGTTTAATATGGATAAGACTGAATTGCGTTCATACTGACAAGTTTCCTAAATGTTTGCCTCTTAAGATGGTCTCGTGTTATTTGAGGCAAGAGGAAGAGTGTCCAAATCGCACCAATCAAATTGCATTGGTAGCCCTACGGTCGAAATTTTCTGTGGTTATGCAGGATTGTTTTTTTTAAATGTCAATACTCGTGTGATTCGATATACTGTTTATTTACTGTTGATTCATTATTACATAGCAGTTAAATGTTAAGCAAAGCAATAATAGATTTAGAGGGGACATTTTGTAATGTACAATGATATATCTCAGTCTTTTCAGAAATCCTACAATGGTCTGAAATATTCCCAGATAGCATACACAAATTATGTTCATATCTGCTATCTTTTATAACCAGGCAGGGTGACCAGAAATGTAAAGAACGCGTCAAAGACTATGTTTGGTTATATTTACGAATCGATGTAATTCTAAACTTAAGTCAAGTTGATTAAAGATTTATCGATTAAGTCTTATCACAAGTAGGCATCACTTTAAGTTATGAGTATGTGTGTGTGCTTGATTTGTATGACGAATAAACTAGTTGAGTTAAGAGAAACGATAAAAATATTACAAAGAAATATTGGGTATGAATGCATGACTATCTGTTATTTATAATTGTACAGAAGATAATTCCGTAGTCACACCCTTTCCCGCCACAGCAACAACAGCCTCCGTAGCATGTGTTATGTTGCTATCTATGTATACGTCTCCTCATCATTACATTTTAATTCGAAATGAATATCCGGGTCATTGATGCACAGCACGTAAGATGTATTAACATGGAATGTGCCGGCTAAACTGATGCTTTCAAACGATAACCGTCTACGCTATCAAACTCATCTTCCCTCATAATCACTATGAAAATGCATAGCCCTAGTGCATGTTGATATCTTAATATTAACGACATGCTTTAACTTAAAATGCATCATCTTACTGTCCGCCCTCACTAACCATTCCTACCTCTATATCAGTATTCTCTTACTATCCGCCCTCACTAAACATTTCTACCTCTATAGCAGTATTCTCTTACTTTCCGCCCTCACTTAATATCCCTACCGCTATATCAGTGTTTTCTTACTGTCCGCCACACTAACCATCCTTACCTCTATATCAGAGTTTTCTTACTGTCCGCCCCACTAACCATCCTTACCTCTATATCAGAGTTTTCTTACTGTCCACCCTCGATGACCATCCCTACCTCTATATCATTATTCTCTTACTATCCACCCTCACTAACCAGCCCTACCTCTATATCGGTATTCTCTTACTATCCGCCCTCACTGACCTTCCCTACCTCTATATCAGTATTCTCTTACTGTCCGCCCTCACTAAACATCTCTACCACTATATCAGTGTTCTCTTACTTTCCGCCCTCACTTAATATCCCTTCCTCTATATCAGTGTTTTCTTACTGTCGCCCTCACTAACAATCCATACTTCTATATCAGTGTTCTCTTCCTGTCCGCCCTCACTAACAATCCATACTTCTATATCAGTGTTTTCTTACTGTCCGCCCCACTAACCATCCTTACCTCTATATCAGAGTTTTCTTACTGTCCGCCCCCATAAACTATCCCTGCCTCTTTATTAGTATTCCCTTACATTCCAACCCCACTAACCAACCCTTACTGTCCGCCCTCACTAACCAGCCCTACCTCTATATCAGTCTTCTCTTACTGTCCGCCCTCACTAACTATCCCTACCTATATATCAGTGTTCTCTTACTATCCACCCTCACTAACCAGCCCTACCTCTATATCAGTATTCTCTTACTGTCTGCCCTCACTAACCATCCATACCTCTTTATCAGTGTTCTATTACTGTCCGCCCTCACTAACCATCCCTACCTCTATATCAGTATTCTCTTACAATCCGCCCTCACTTACCATCCCTACCTCTATATCAGTATTATCTTACTGTCCGCCCTCACTAACTATCCCTACCTATATGCCAGTGCTCTCTTATTATCCGCCCTCACTAACCATCCCTACCTCTCTATCAGTATTCTCTTACTGTCCGCCCTCACTAACCATCCCTACCTCTATATCAGTATTATCTTACTGTTCGCCCTCACTTACCATCCCTACCTATATATCAGTGTTCTCTTACTGTCCGCCGTCACTAATCACCCCTACCTCTATATCAGTGTTTTCTTACTATCCGCCAAAACTAATAATTCTTTCCTTTTTTTCAGTACATCTGACAGGGAAATATCACCCAAAATCAAGCACTTGTTTTCCCATTTCAATATCCTCGATCCTTAATTTTTCGGCAATTTTTTGCTCCACATTTCAGTTTGTGGCAAGTTAGATAAAATACTCTATCGTCCTTACATTTACTGTACAAATTAAGCATATGATATAAAATTACGACTTGAACATTTACATCTCTCCATTATCCAGGTTAGTAAATCTGACTCCGTATAAATTAGCGTATACCCAATGAAAAAAGGTTCAGCGATTGTATACCTGTTTCAAATATGGCGCCGTTCACGCTTCAGCGAGATAACTGTTCGATGGCAACCATTGTTTGGTTCCTTCAACTTCTAGAAACATGGAACATATTCGGGATCCATTATGCTTAATTATACAATAAAGGGATGCTGGCAAACTTGTTCTTCCATGGCTGCCCATTCAAAGATCTTTGACGATAAAGTAAACAATGGCGGCTTCCTTTTGCAACGTTCGACCGCGTCACTACTAGAACAGTGTGTGTCTGTGTTTACATAACGACCGTTGTAAATGACGGATATAATACTACTTTATTAAAGATGAAAAAGCTACGAAAAGAAGAAAACTAGTGTTGACCACTGCGTATTTTCTAAATTTACATATACAGTGTATATTGATGTGTATTGACTGGAACTATATTGTCCATATAACCACGGCTACCTTATAGATACCATCGTAGCAACCCGCTTCGAATGCTCTTTCTTTGTTAAGCATTTGAACATATTTTTTGATGTAAATATAAGACAGAAATTCATTTTGACGGCCTATACGGTAGTATGAACGCAGTTGGCAACGGACGTATTCTATGGTGCGAAACGCAGTTGGCAACGAAAATATTCTTTATGACGCAACATAGAATATGTTTGTTGCTAACTGTGTTCATACTACCGTATACGCCGTCAAAATGAAGGTCAATCCTTAAATATCATATCTTAGAAAATTACGTTAAACACTGCATACATGTTGGAACTATTTTCTATAAGCGTCGCAGCAACCAATTTTGCTTAAGCAACGTCAAAATACACTTCTTATATGACAGCACAATCAGTTTTGGGTTATAAATTGTTGGCGCAATTATTCGAAACGAGCAAAAAATTATCTTTAACTTTAAAGAAATTATCAAATGATTAATTTTTTGTTCGGTAGGGATACGAGAAAAACACTTTTTTACGGTCATTTTCACTACCAATTTATCTCTTCGCTAAAGCCTCGATTAGATTTCACGGCATATCAACCCTCAAAGAGTATCGACCAGGAACAGGTAATACAGTTTCACCTTGGCCAAAAATTCGTTTTCACGATAAAACATTTTCTTACTGCCCCGCGCAGACGAACTACCCCTATCTTATATTTAGATCTTTTTAATGGTAATAAAATGAATCTTTCAAAACAAAAATTTCAAGTTGCGTCCCATACAAGTTGCTGCTACACTTCTGCTCAGTAGTAGTACAGCTGCACTAAGTGAAACTTGGTACATTTGATCTAGCGTTTACATTTACTCTAGAGTGCTTTAGATATAATTTTAGAAAATATGAGGTCAAAAGAGTTTAGATAACAGCTTCCGCGCTTGCGATATAACGATTTCTGCCCATTAACGACAGTTATGTACAGATTGTGCATCACTGCTCTCGACACCAAATGTTCTTCGTGTTATCGTCTCCGTTGCATTGCATGCGTCTATCATAGTATGCTTACATCAATCATGTTGTCATAAAGCCAAATGCCAATAATACAAACTTCAAGTGGTGGAACACACGTGCTAACTATTTTTTCCAAGCCAATGTATCAATTAATAATTATGTAATAAGTCAGTAGCGCTACACCTAGATACTGTAAATCACTCCGATAAGGCAGCCTGTTCCTCTCCAGCGCGCGCGTCTTCACATGTCCTCGCTATCGATAGCGCAATCGAACCAGGGCATATCTGTATTATGATGCTGGAAGCTTCTGTCTACGGAGTGAGCTGTTATGTAGTATAAAAATGATATAAGGAAGGGGGAACACATCACAGGTTAAACAAGAAAAGTAAGATAGCAATTCCCCATGTCGTCTGACCTATAATTAGGACTACCACAGCGAGGACAAACGCCGTAAAATCACAGGTCTGCTACACAATCAATCAATAAATAGACCGTGCTGTGAAGTTTTTATAATATAATTGTCAGGTAAATTGGGTTTTTACAATACCCTACCTCGAAATGCTCCACTTTTGTGTCAAACATTCTGTGCTTGCTCCCTAAGTCGTACAACATGTTGTACAGCTTGCCGGGCTTGTGTTGTCTGGCAATAGCTTTCTCGATCGTTCCCATCACGCGCAGACCGTGCTCACGTAACCGATCACTGTTCCGAAGCTCATCCGACTTTAACCCGCGAAAAGGCACAAACAAATCTTGTAAGTCTGGGTGTTTCTCGAACAATCTGAAAAACATAAAAGTCGTGAAAATAACGTGTAATTATCGACCCCACGTGCCTCTATAGTGCAGTGAGCTTATCACAATTTCATATCATATCGGTTTCCTAGTATTGATTTTGGAAGTGCAAAATTCGATCTTATAATTTTGTGTACAAACATTTGGCTGTTGCACACTCAAATGTTGACAACTAAAAGTTACAGAAGTCCACATATACTCCTTATCAGTTGGCATGACGTGCTTCAGAAAAGACATGGCTGCTCCGTCGTTGAATAACATTGTTTTTTCATACGCAGCAGCGGACCTGGTCAAATTCAGTCTAGGATACATAAAAGGGATATAATTATCTATGAAAAACGGAAAATCTATTTCGTGAACGATAAAGTCGACATGGATTGGTTTAGATAGCATCTATCAGTGCGGTCAGATGGATCACACCCAAAACCATCCTGATGTCACCGTATCAATATCGACCGCCGCCAGAAGCTGTTTTGATTTCTTTGATCGAATATGTTATATATGAGGGCGCCTTGTAAATCGGTTTTCGTCCTTGATACCATGATAAGGTATTAATTATTTTAGAAAATGAAGAATTGCCTTGCTACAAACAAGTAGACCGAGACACCATCAATCGTCCCTACACATGTTGCCCCTTACTGTACATGGATAACTAAACAGATTTATAATGGCTTTACAAGTATCGTAAACGCTAAACTTATCATTCCTCATAGTTATTTCTAGTGGTGTACTAAATTATATTGTTATTTACAGTTATGTCCTAAATAATGTTACAGTTAGGTCCTAAATAAGCTACTTAAAAGTGTTTTTCGAAATAATGTAGTTACAATGTAGTTACAATGTAATTACGTTATAATGTAGTTACTATGTAGTAACAATGTAGTTACAATGTAGTTACAATGAAGTTACAATGTTACAATGTAGTTACAATGTAGTTACAATGTAGTAATAATGTAGTTACAATGTAGTTACAATGTAGTAATAATGTAGTTACGATGTAGTTACAATGTTACAATGTAGTTACAATGTAGTTACATTGTAGTTACAACGTTACAATGTAGTTACAATGTAGATTTAATGTAGTTAAAATTGTTACTTTAACAACGTAGTCGGTTACAGTGTTGTTAAGTGATTTTCGCCTAACTACGACTTTCACGTTCGCGTTAGTCCGAGTTTATTTCACGTTATTACATGTTTATTTGCATAAGTAAATAATCTGTTATTTATACAATTGTCCTTAATAATGTAGCTATTTAAAGTGTAGTCCTAAATAATGTAGTCATTTATACTGTTGTCCTTAATAATTGAATTAGTTACAGTGTTTCCAAAATAATGACAATAAACCATCGACTTAACGAGTGCCAAGTCCGTAAATTTTTCATCATACCGCTGACAAACAAATCCCATAGAACACCTGCTTGTGTTAACCATCCCTTTTTGTAAGCACCTGTTTTTGCTCGCCTCGGGAAACATAACTGATCGAGAGAAATCTCAAACTCTCCAGAATCTGTATCACGGGATCCCATCCTGTAACTATTTTATAACACGTATAAGAACCACAGAGGCATTTCAAAACACAATTGTCGAAACCATAAGTTCCTTAAAATATCTAAACCCATATAAATTCTCTTCAAGTATAACGAGAGGATACCCAAAATGCTACGCCTTTTGAAGAAAACATCAATATTTCCATTTTTTTTTACTAAATTATAAAATACTTTACTATAATGAATTAAAAAAAATGCCTTCAGTTTTTTGTGTATCTTTTATCTGTATAAATAGCGTATGTCTCTATTAATAAAGCCCATTTAGTGGAGTCGGGTTTACTTGGAAGCTTCAGTTTGCCGTATACCAAAATTGGAACACCTCTTCTATTCAAATTAGTCACTTAATGTATATCACTGGAAGCAATTATAATACCTTTGTTGACAATTTCTGATAAATTAAAGTACTATATCCATTAAATAATTATTTGAAGAATATTTTTCAATGTTTCAAGTTTTCAAGTGAGCTAATGAGCAACATATAAGAGGTACATAAAGGCAGACAAAGCTCGATCCAATATTACTTAAAATGAAATCATTTTGATTTAGAACATAAATCACCGATTTGTATTTTAAAATAAAAATGCTGCATCAGATGCATGAAAGGGTTTAATCTTCGGTAGCGTTCCATTTTTGGTACTCTGGCATTAATGACATTAACTACCAGTAGGCAAACAGCATGTGAGTACAACACTGAACACACTTTATGAATGTTCCATATAGTATTAATATATGCAATAAAGCCAATTACCCTGCAGATAAATACTATATCCCGGGAAATAGCTTATTTGACCGGACTGTTTTATGACTATTTTCCTGTAAAAATGAACCAATCAAAACAATCGCCTCCGCCACGTCATATCATCACGTCACGTGGACCGAGCCAATGATGTTTGATGTTGGCAGATTTAGTAGCCATGACAACCGTTTGTAATCGACGGAGACATCACTACAGATGATGGTGAAAGTAGATATGAGTTTTTGTGGTTTGAAATATTGCTTTCAAAATATGCCTGTGGTTCATATCTGTATAACAAAACCGATACCTGTGAGATTCCTGGCTACAGAGTCTAGTAAACTGTTGGTCCCCCTCAACCACGTATGTTTACGTATTTCAACACCCGACTCAAATTGCCTATATAAATACACTATGAAAACAAAAGAACATTGCGAATACTGCCATATGAACAATGGCACCAAAACTATACCGTGATACCTGTATTAACACTGTGACACTCCATCCTAACA